GACTTTGTATTAGGGCAATGAGTTCTATGAGCGGCCCACCCACTGAGATGCATTCCCTTATATCCCCTGACATAAGTGCCCACCGCAACTTTAAGCAGAGTATTTGAAAGATTGTAGCTTATGGTTAGTGATACTTATGGCTCCTTAATAACAGATGTTTCTCCGTTTCAGCCTGTATCTGTCCAGATGGAGTAAGTCTTGACACACGCCTGCATCCTCAGTCTCCCTGTCTCCCTCTCCCCCCCTTACCCCCTCTCCCTGTCTTGCCCCTCTCACTCTGGGTTTTATGGAGCTCAGGCTGGCCTTGAACTACTATGTAGCCAAGGATGACTTTGTATTGATCCTCCCATCGCCACTTCCTGAGCGTTGGATTAGAAGTTACGCGCCCACTTAGAATCCGTGGCTTCCTGCATGCTAGACAAGCACTCTACCAACTAAGCTACATCCCAGCCTTCCTGTCACGCACCCCAGTGGTCCTCACCGCCCAGTCCCTCATGTTTGCCTCCCCTCCCCTGTGACATCAAAAGCAAAATGAAAAAAGAAAAAAGCATACTCACTGGAGTATGGTCAGATTCCTAGTGGCCCAGCTCCCCAAGGAAGGATGAGCCTTTCTCCACCTACATCAACTGGGGAGAGCCTGAGAGGGTCCAGGCCAGCTGTCCCATGACTAGGCCACCTCCTGCCTCAGTATGCTGTGGGCTAGGGAGGGGTGGGGCCAGCTCTCCTGCACCCATGCCACCTTTGGGGTCACCCTGCAGCTGCCAGGAAGGGACAGGACCAGCTTTCCCATGTCCATGCCATTGCTGGTGCTGCTGAGGGGTGGGGCCAGCTCTCCTGAGCCCTAAGACATTAACGTGACTTCAGGCAGCAGCCCGGATCACAGACATCCTCACAGGCTACGGTGGTAACACAGGCTGCAGACATGAAGTATGAGTATCGGGCCGCTGATCCCATGCATGGCCCTCCTTGGCTGCACTAGCCACGGGTTGATACATGGCCTCAGGCGGCTACACAGGCCACTCACATCAGGATGCCCACACCGCCCCCCCCACAAGGCAGCAAAGTCAGAGAACATCACCAAGGCATCAGGCGGCATACTTCCAGGCTTCATTGTGGCCTGGGGCAGCAGCATGGACCACAGACACCAACATGGTCTCCAGTGGCATCAGGGATACCGGTGATCCTTCGAGGAGGTCCAACCCAGAAAGTGAAACTTTCCTTCTCTTGGGCCTCTGCCCTTGCCCAGAGCCAAGGGGATCCCGCAGCCAGGCGGCAGGTTCTGAGGTTGAGTCTGCGTCTGCATAGGCTCCGGGATGTTGTACATCATCCCTCCTGGGCAATGGAAGCATGGAGACAGACTGAGGCTCTCTCTCTCTCTCTCTCTCTCTCTCTCTCTCTCTCTCTCTCTCTCTCTCTCTCTCTCTCTCTCTCTCTCTCTCTCTCTCTCTCAGTCACCTCCACCATATTCCGCCCCTCTCCACAGGGCACCCACTGAGAAATTTTTCTCTTCCCATCTCTCCACAGTGCACACACTGAGAAGTTTTTCTCTTCCCATCTCTCCACAGGGCGCGCATTGAGAAGTTTTTCTGTCTTTCCCATCTCTCCACAGTGAACACACTGAGAAGTTTTTCTGTCTTTCCCATCTCTCCACAGTGAACACACTGAGATGTTTTTCTGTCTTTCCCATCTCTCCATCACATGTTTGTTCTTTGTAATTGCCCCTCCCCATGGCCTGGGCCCGACTTTTTTTTAGCCTGCTTCAGCTACCCTACAAACAAATACTACCATGGGACCTGGATTTGTGTATGCGTAAAACAAATTATGTTTGTATATTTTATTTATTGGGGGAGGGCTTGGAGCATGACATGTGTGGACAGTGGCGTACAACTTGAAAGACTTGGTTCCCTCCTGCTAGGCAAGTCCTGGGAACCAAACTCGGGTTGCCAAGTTTGACGGCAAGTACCTTTACCTGCCCATCCATCTTGCCAACACCGCTGACCCCCCTTTTGGTTTAAAACATTTTTTGGTGTGCTTTTATTATTTTAAATTATGGTTATGTGTGCGTGTGGGGGGTTATGTATTTGTGAGTACAGTGCCCTAGGATGCCTGAAGCCAGATGCCTAAAAACCCCCGGCACTGGAATTATAGGCAGTTATAAGTGGTTGCTGGGAATGAAATTCAGATCCTCTGGAAGAGCAGCCAGTGCTCTTAACCACTGAGCCATGTCTCCAGCCCTCTCTCTCTCTCTCTCTCTCTTTTATCTTTAATTATCTTTCATTTATACGCAGCAGTGGAGCGCACAATCCGCAAGCACACATATGGAGGAACGTTAGCCCCGCCCCCACATTCTCGCACCTCCTTCACGGAGACCTGTAAGTGGTGTCCAGAAGCCTTGTAAGGAGGTTGAGATGTTCTACTGGCAAGATTAAAAGAAGCAACAGTCGAGGTTGACTTTTAATGATGTATTTTGTTTAAAGCAACAGATCCAAAGTCTTGTCTTCACACATAGTCAGTATTAAAATTGTGAACGTGGTGTCACATTTTCCTTACTGAGATTTTAGAGCCCAGCATGGGACTCTCACAGCATAGCTACACTGGCCACGTGTCAAGAGCTCCATAGCCTTGTGGTTGGCAGCTACTGCAGCAAACAGCGTGGATCTAGGACGCAAGGGACGACAGTGACAATGGGAGTGGTGCCAGCAACATTTGCTGGTAGGAATATAAATTGTTCAAAACCATCTTCTCTTTCCAGTGCTAAGGGTGGAACCCCGGGCCTCACATATTACCACTGAGCTACACCTCTTACCCCAACTATGTAAATTGTAAGCCATTGATTGTATTCATATTTCTATTTTGAGTATTGATTACTTAATTTTCATTTATTTATTCGTTTACTTATTTATTTATTGAGATGGGGTTTCTCTGGTTAGCCCTGGCTGTCCTAGAACTCGTTTTGTATGTAGACCAGGCTAGCCTCCTGCAGACCTGCTCGCCTCCGTCTGCTGAGTACAGGGATTAAAGGCCTCATCCCTCACCCACACTTAGTTTTGTTTTTATGAAATAGAGCCCACACCCAGTTCTCTCTTAGATAACACGACACAGGAAGTTCCTGTGGCTATCTTTAGTTCTCTTTTGAGTGAAACACATTGGTACACACTCTCAAGTGTAAGGAACATTTGAGTAACAGGTTCTTCAGCTGCCCAGTAGGCTGCCATCTCTAACTTTGAGTTAGTTATGTCATCTCTTAAAGATAGAAGTCATGGCCGGGCGGTGGTGGGCACGCCTTTAATCCCAGCACTCGGGAGGCAGAGGCAGGCGGATCTCTGTGAGTTCCAGGCCAGCCTGGTCTACAGAGCGAGTTCCAGGACAGCCTCCAAAGCCACAGAGAAACCCTGTCTCGAAAAAAAACAAAACAAAACAAAAAAACCCAAAAAAACCAAAAGATAGAAGTCATGCAGAGCATGATAGCGCACACCTTTACTCCAGCACTTGGGAGGTAGAGGCAGGTGGATGTCTGTGAGTTCAAGGCCAGCCTGGTCTACAGAATGAGTTCCAGATCAGCCAGGGCTACACAGAAAAACGCAGTCTCCAAAAACAAAAACCAAAAAACGATTTTAAAAAAGTCATGCCGTGTCAGTGGGTCCCAAACGAGGCTATAAGTCACTTCAAGGGCACAGCTGTGTGCCACCTAATGATATTTTGGGCAGTGACAGATCAAATATATAATGATGAGCAGGCTGTAGTCCCAGCACTTAGGAGGTGGGAGCATGCAGTGATTTAATTGAACAATGCCCCCCATAGGTTCGGATATTCGACCATTTGGTCTTCAGCTGGGGGTGTTATTTGTGGCGGTCATGGAGCCCTGAGAAGATGTTGGAGGAGGTATGTCCATGGGGGAGGACTCTGAGAGTTTATGGCCTTGCCTGAGAAGATGTTGGAGGAGGTATGTCCATGGGGGAGGACTCTGAGAGTTTATGGCCTTGCCTGAGAAGATGTTGGAGGAGGTATGTCCATGGGGGAGGACTCTGAGAGTTTATGGCCTTGCCGGATTCCAATCACCAATTGCCATGGCTCCTCTATCATTAAGTACTCTGTCCTCCTGAAACCCCAGGCCAAAGTACACTCTTCCTTAGGTTGCTTTGGTCATGGCATTTTATCACAGTGATAAAAAGTACACAAACAAGACAGGGGGGTCAGGAGTTCAAGGCCATCTGCCTCCATGTGCAGTCTGTATCCAAGAATGTGCAGAGGGTGTTGGGATTGATGACACAGAGACCAGTAGGTGGTGCAAAGAAAACTTTAAGAAGGCCCCAAGAAGGTTCAAGAAAACTTCCCAAGAAAGGCTTCCCTCAAGAAGAGCTTCCACTCCCTTCCTTACCCCTGGCTGGTTCTGCTCTGACCCCAGAGGGGGCGGTCGGTGGGTCAGGAAGAGACGGTTAGTCTTTGGAAAAGGTCAAGGTCAGGGCGTTCCCTTGGGTGAGGCCTTATCAGGAACTTATTGCTCTGGTAAACATTTCTTATGGACACCAGATTGTTTTCAGTAAACATGTTTTTAGTAAACATTGTCTTACAGCTGCCTGCCCCCAGGCTGATGGGGAAGTGGGTCTCCGGCCAAAGTCTGTTGTTCCCACAGCCAGCCTGTGGGACTAATGAGTCCCAGGCTGCCCTGGGCGACAAGAGATAGATAATGATGCTGCCTATGCCAGATGGTGGCCTTTAATCTCGCCACTTTCCAGGCAGAGGCAGGAGGAACTCCAAGTTCGAGGCTAGCCTGGTCTACACGTGGAATTCCAGAACAGCCAGGACTACACAGAGAAGCCCTGTCTCAAACAAAGAAAGATGATGTTGCCTAAGCTAGGATCTGTGGCACACGCCTGTGGTGCAGCCCGCTCCCCCCTTCTAGAGAGGCTGAGGTGGGAGGTTCACTTGAACCTGGTTTGAGACTACCCCGGGTAGTGAGACACTGTCTCACAAGAAGGAAAGCAAGTGTACCACCTCGGGAAGTTTGTAGCTCTTTTAATGTGTGTTCTGCATCTGCGATGTCTTCATGACAGGATCATCTAATGAATAGTCTTCCAGACTGTAATCCCCTCTCAGTAAGCGCTAAGTGCCTATACTGGAGAAACAGCACATGTCACACTAGACTCCGGGTGCACAGGGTGACGTGTGCGCTGCCCCATGGGTGACAGTCTTGAGAATTAGTGAGTATCATCTGCTTTGTCAAAGTCCTTGCAAAGGCTCAGAGGCTTCTCCCGAGACTGTGGTAGAGACACGCAGTGTCCCTGACTGACGAAACCCCGGTGTGACAGCCCGACGGAACAGTTAGGGGCGGGAAATTTTGTTTCTTCAGAGCTGGAACCATGGTAGCCAAGGGGGAGACCTACAGAGGACCAGTGCGAGAGAAGACATGTTAGGAGGGACGCTCAGAAGTGACCCGCCATCATCCTCTCTGGTCTTCTCCCGGCACTGGGTCAGGAATCATCCTCCCACCAGGTGAACAGCAGAACCAGCTCCCGTTTCCCGGAGACAGTTCGAAGGAGCTAGGCTGAGGGAGCAAAGAACCCATTCCTTCCTTCATCGAACGGCCGAGGATACTAGCCGGGCGCCGTCCCTTCCTTTGATGTAAATTGCTCTACGTTTCCAGGCAGGACACCCGCACTCCAGCCCCGAACCAGCACTAACTAGCTGTGGCACTTTGGGTGTGGGCTGATTTATCACAGCCCCCATAAGCCTACTCATAACTGCCCCGTGGGTTATAGTGATGGCTGCGTAAAATAATTCAGTGGACAGCAACTGGAAACAATAAGGCGGTAAACATCTGCAGCAGAGCAGGGAAAAGTGGCAGGGGACACGGCCGGCCTGGCCTCCTTCCCTTTCCTCCACTAGCAGCTGTGTGGCAGAGGTCAGAGGCCGGCGCTCTGATCCAAATCAGACTCCAGGGACATGCCGGGATGTCACACACACCTATCCCCGGCTTCTGGAAAAAAAAAAAGTCTCCAGGGAAGGCTCTCAGCCGGTCTGCAGGTTTCTGAGGTCTGTCCCTTACAAAGGGACAGGTTTCTACTACGCTGCATCCCAGGAGCTACCACTGCTTGTCCGAGGATCGCAGGGCCCTCACGCTCTGGGGCAGCCCACCAGAGGCAGCTCCTTCCTCGGTACTCCTTAGGGGTTGCAGCCACGCGTTAGCCAAGGTCTCTGCCACCTCTGTCACATCGCCTTCCCTGCCGAGTCAACGCGGTCCTTTCACGGGCATCCTTCTGGTCCTCTCTCCCTAGCCGCGACCAGGAGCTGCGCCTTTGTCATTAGCTCATCGAAAGGTCCGGGCTCCGGAGGGTATTCCTGGCTCTGTCAGTCAAGATGCTGAAGTTAAATTACCCTGGGCTCCAGGCGAAACTGTGGAAAGCACGTTTTCAGCACTTATAGAAAGTATTTCCACCCCTCAAGACGAGTACTCACGTCCCATAAAGCAAGCACAGGCGGTTCCGGAACTCGGGAGCACTGGCCCAGTTCCCGCCTCCCTCCACCCCATCAAGATGTCATTGTTCCTAGGTTCGGGACAGAGAAAGCCTGGCTGGGTGGACCAGCGGCTGCTCAGGACGCCCCCTTACCCAGCAGGACTTCAAGCCGGGTGGGGGCGCGGAGCTGCAGGTCCGCAGCTGCCAATCACCGCGCAGCTCACGTGCCGCACGTTTCCCTGCTCCCAGTGGGGGTGCGGGGCACGCGCACGATTGTGTGTGTGTGTGTGTGTGTGTGTGTGTGTGTGTGTGTGTGTGTGTGTGTGTGTGTCCGCGGGCCGATGGCTGGGCTGCTAGGAGGCCTGGAGTGTGAACGCGCGGGGTGGGGGTGCGCAGAGAGGTGTGAACGCGCAGAAGGTCCGGGGGAGATGCTCAGGGGTCTGGGAGAGGGATGCGCCGACAGTGGGGTCTGTCCACTCTGATGCTGCTTCCTGGGTTATTAGAGAGGCGCCAGGACCCTCCTCTTCCCCAAGTCTGTTTGCGCCCCTCTCGCTAAACACTGAGCCTTCAATAGGTGGAGACGGCTTGTTTTTAATTTGTGAGTCCACCACCGGCAACACCAAGGGCACGGCGTGGGTAATTCAGAGGCTGGGCTCCAGAGCACCTGCTCAGAAAAAAAGCAGATCGCCCTTCTAGACCTCTCGGTGCTCTCCACCATCCCTCCTCCAGCCAAAATGTGGAGAAATGTTCATTTCTGGTTGTGGTTTTCAAACAACCGACGTGTGTAGGCTGAAGGGTTGAAGTCCAGGAAGAAGAGGCTGCCCACGAAATGTGTTTGCAGGCCAGGATCCCCTGCTCAATGATAGGTGCTCTTTAAAGCAGGGTCTTGCTATGTACTCCATGGGCTGGCTTGATGTGGAGCCCAGGATGGCCTGGAACTCGTGGTAATCCTCCTGTCTCAGCCTCCCAAATGCTGGGACTATCGGCCTGACCCACCACCCTCGTTCCATTCCAGGGACTTCTCTGCTGCTTGGCCATGAGAAGCAGACATTAAGAAGGCCGTAGGGATCGAAGTTTCTCTGGAGAGATATTTTAGGTCTTGGGTGTATGCAGGTTTGATGTGTCTGTAGCTTGCTGAGCCTTCCCTGGCTGCACTGTTTACTCTCCTTGAAAGGGATGCCGGTAACAACCTCGGAGAGAGGAGCTCCCTTTGAAGTGTGGGTTCTCCTGACTTCACTAGTCTGTTGTCTCCGTGGCTCCTTTGATGTGGTGACTTCAGCCAGGCTTTATTAGAGATTAGCTACCAGGACCAATAGATCAACCATCCCTTCAAGTTCACCTCCGCTGCGATGTACACGTCAGAGGAGCACTGAGATACACCAGGAAGCATCTCAGAATTTTCCATTTCCTGATTTTATTTCATTAGTTCAGTACACATTTTTCACATGTACTAATTTCTTCGCCTCTGGGAAATTACATGGAAAACTTCAGACCTGCAGTATTGTGTTTAATCCTCAGAGTAAGTGTGAGGTCGGGTACTTGTCTGCGTTCTCCAGAGGAGAGACCGGAGCTGCGCTGCTGCACAGCTGAGTCACTGAGGCAGACCCGTTGCACCTCTCCTTCAGGGAAAGTTGACTAGATTCATTAAATGAATCCAGCCATACAAACTGCTGATGTCAGCTCCTGGTGCACATTCTGCACATGTAGCCATTGCACCGCTGGGGTTTTTTCCCCAAATATTTTGTATTTATTCTACTTGATCTGTATAAATGTATTTGTGGCCTGCCTGCACTCATGTGCACCAGGTGCCTTCCTGCTGAGCACCTGAACGGGGCTTAAGGATGGCTATGAGCTACCACGAAGGTGCTAGGATAAACCGTGGTCTTCTGCAAGAACAAGTCCTCTTACTGTGAGCCCCCCTCCAGCCTGTTTTTATCACTATTATTGTTGCACGTAGAAACTGGAATGCTCTCGTTGGAAAGCCTCGCAGAATCACAGGAAACAGAGCCTGCTTTCTTATGGCAGGGGGTTAGGGTCTGGTTCTCCTCCGGCTGGAGGAGCCTCTGCCTGGTGTTGGAGTTCTGGAAGGAGACGCTCCAAGACACCCTTTACAGTGCCTTCCCATGGAGATCTGCTCCTGGATTCTATCTGTTCTTTCCTTCCCCACTGGAGAATGCTCTCAGAGGCAAGCTGCTCGGCTCTCTACAGGGTACTTTGATGTCCATGCAGTGGAATGTGGGGTTTGTTTTTATTGACATAGATAGTGTAACTGACTTTGTCTTCACATTTCAACATTACAGTATTTACCAAACCTTTCTTTTCTTTTTTTTTTTTTCTCTCTCTTTTCCTGGGGGAGGGGTGGGTGGGTTGAGACAGGGTTTTTCTGTGTAGCTGTGGCTGTCCTGGAACTCACTCTGTAGACCAGGCTAGCTTCAAACTCAGTGATCTACTTGTCACTTACTCCTGAGTGCTGAGGTTAAAGGCATGTGCCACCATGCCTGGCTTTAAAACATTTTTTTTTATAAGTGCTTCTTTGGAGTAGAGAGTACGCCTTCTGGAAATGTTGATGAAGTCTGAAGGGAGTGATCAGAGTGAGAGACAGTGTGACTAAGGGCAGATTAGTTGTAGGAGGCTCAGGAGCAGGACCAGTAGACTGAGCTGCCCTCCTGCTAACTAATGTAGCAGGGCCCAGTCCGTTGTGGGCAGTGTTATCGCTAGAGGTGAGGCTGGTCTGTATAAGAAAGGTAGCTCTGGGGCTGAAGAGATGTTTCAGTGGTCACACTGTGCGCTGTTCTTGCCGAGGGCCCAAGTTCAATCTCCAGCACCCATACCTCAGCTGATTCACACCTGCCTATAACTCTATCTGGTGCCTTTGGCCTCCTGGGGCTCCTGTACATGCACACACAATTAAGAAGAGATAAAAAATAAATCTTTAGATAAAGAAAGGCAGTTTCTGCTTCAGTTACTGCTTGAGCTCAGGCCCTGACTTTCCTCAGCTTGTTTCCTGGAGGTGTAATCTAAATAAACCGTTTCCTCCACAGGCTGCTTTTGGTCGTGGTGTTTGATCACAGCAGCCCGAGAGGCAAAGAAGAGTCTCCCCATATTGACCGAGCTGGCCACAAATTCAGAGACCCGCCTGCCTCTGCCTCCTGAGTCCTGGGATAAAAGGCAGGTGCCACCATGTCAGGCTCCTCTCTACCCCAACCTCCCGGATTGGGAGGGATGTCTCAGGTGACTCAGGCTGGCTTTGAACTCCATGCTCTCCCTACTTCTGCTTCCCACACGCTGGGATTACATTCCCGCAACACCCCACCTGCCTGATGGCTGACACTTTTTACAGTCTTGTGAGTTGATTGTGTCCTCCCCAAATTCACATGCCGAAGCCCCAACCTCTTCAAATGTGATTTGGTGTTTAGATCGCTGCAGATGTAACCAGTTAAGATGAGGTCATACCACATGGAGTTGGTTGGGCCGCTAATCCACGATGGCTTGTTTCCTCCCAGAAAGAAGGCATCTGAGCACAGGACCACACAGGGAGAGCGTCGGGGAGAACGCCACGTGAAAACACACAGACAGGAATGTGTGTCCACAAGCTACGGAAGGCTGACGGCAGACCTCGGAAGCTGACAGAGAGCCTGGGGCAGATTCACCTCACAGCACCAAGGTCACCTGTCTGCTGACACCAGGATCCTGGGTGCTAAATTCTGGTCCTAGAGCCAGCCAGTTTTGAGACTGTTATTGTAGACTGCCCATGCACGACACAGGGAGCACAGTCTGAGGAAGGTTCTGACTAGGATAGGGTCTTAATATTTTAGAAACATTGTCTTACAGAGGCTAAGATGTCCAGTTCTGTGTAAAATTACTTTATCTTCTTTTCTAATGGAATGGTATATGCACATAATTTTAAAAATGAAATAGACTAAATACATAATTGCATAAAAATTGGGCTTATTTTTATTTTTTTATTCTTTTTTCGAGGCAGGGTTTCTCTGTATTGCTTTGGAGGCTGTCCTGGAACTTGCTCTGTAGACCAGGCTGGCCTGGAACTCACAGAGATCTGCCTGCTTCTGCCACCCGAGTGCTGGGATTAAAGGCTTGCTCCACTAACGCTCTTCTGCTTGTTTTGACTTCTTAACTCAGCTTTCTTCTGGTATATGCTATTATTTTTCTAAGAAATATGTTAATATTACTATGCTAATAATATTCTAATATTAAATTCTTGAGTATTTTTCATTTTTATTGCAGTGCTGGGAATTAAGCCTGGGGTCTGCAGTGACTTGCAGGTAACCTATTCCTGAGCTATAGCCCTACCTTTTCTTTTCTTTTATGTATTTATGTATTTATTTATTGGTTTTTTTTGAGACAGGGTTTCTCTATATTGTGTTGGAGACTGTCCTGGAACTCACTCTGTAGACCAGGCTGGTTTCGAATTCACAGAGATCCACCTGCCTCTGCCTCCCGAGTGTTGGGAGGCAACACTGCCCGGCTAGCCATATCTTTTCTTTCCCTCTAGTTTTTGTTTCTAGACCATGTCTCACTAAATTGCCTAGGTGGGAATTGAATTTTCAATCCTTTTGCCTCAGCCTCCAAAATACCACCACCAGGCCCAGGGATTTTCAGTTTGGGACATCACTTCCCAATGGTAGAGGAGGACTTAGTCTTCTGGCATCCTCCACCCCATATCCTTATACCTGGATCTCTGACAGGCAATTCTTGCTCATGATATTTGGACACATAGACCCTGGTCACCAATGGATGCCTTCGTTCATCACAGGTTCGGGATGACTTGACCTCAGGGTTATGTATGCAACTATCTGGAGAAGCAGCACTTCTGAACTGACTCTTAAAGAAATTGATGTGTTTGATTGACTTGGCAAGTGAGGTTTTGCTGGCGTTGCTTATAGTAGATTCGGAGAATACTTTTCCTTTACCCAAGCTGAGTCCACCTTTAGGGGCCCCGGGTGGGTGAGGACTTTAAGCCCAGTTTCCTTTGCTTGAGACAGGGTTTCTCTGTTAACAGCCCTGGCTGTTCTGGAACTCACTCTGTAGACCAGGCTGGCTTCCAACTCAGAGATCACCTGCCTTTGCCTCTCAAGTGTTGGAATTAAAGGTGTTTGCCACCACCAAATGGCTAAAGGCCAGTTTCTTGAACTGAGAGTTGTCAACCCATTATGGGGTTACATCAGGAAAGGTAGAAAGTGATGAACAATTTGTTGAAAATTAATTTATAATGGAACGTGAAATACATCCATGG